TAAAAGGCAACAAATTCCTATACAGTTTATTGCCACATAAGTAATTGAAAGAGATCCTCCTGATGGAATGGCCTTTTTTATTCTAAATGAGGAATCATGGTGTCTACCTGGAAGCAATTGTGTTTGTCGACAACTTTTAACAGAGTGATGGTAAAAAACTACACTTACTTTCCAGAAGGGAGAACCAATGAGGGAAGTCACACTAGAAGACAAATCTGTAGGAATTGTGTTATTTTCCACTACATTAAAAGAATACCCTATGAGCACATCTTGAAATCCGAAAGACTATTTGGAAGCTTTTCTGCTTGTTTCAAGAGTTTTTAGGTGAGAAATTCCCATGTGCATTTATCTCTTCAAGAGGCAATTCATATACAGCACTTACAAGATGCAAGACCAAGATAAGACAAATACAAACTGTGTACTAGATACAGCAGAGTAATCTGGACAGCTTCTAACTGTTTACTGAGTAGGATCAGGAAATCACATTGGAAATCACCTTATTACTACTTACAGCCAAGAGTTTCTGAGAGACAGGCTATTCAATACTAATATAAAGAAGATAAACACAGAGGAATTGCTGAATTAGGAGAAAATAAAGGAAGCAAATTTTCAGCATCAATTAGTTCTGGTTAGAAAAGTGCGTTAGGTCCTTTCACTAATGGAAGGTCTCAAATTTATAAAGTACCTGAAGGAAAAGCTAAAATGTATCACTGATCTTTAAAACAGACATAGTTTGGAGAATACATAGTTCCTAAGTTTAGATGTCTAAGGTTATGGAACTGTGCTGGTCATTTACGTCACATTTGTTTAGTCAGTCCATTCCATTCCAGTCCATAGTTACTGTCATTTCCACTGATCACACAAAATTTTAGAGTAACATGAAGAACCAGAAATCATTCAGTTCCTCTGTATGTTGTTTTGTTCGGGTTTTTTTTAATTAGCAGACTGGGAGGGGAGAAACACTATTTAACTGTTTCTGCTGAGACAGAGGGCATCATCCCTCTTGTCTGAGTATGTGGCTGCTGCCAGTCATTACTGAGTGATGCGCTGGCTTGACAGTGCACAAATAAGCAACTGTCAGAGGGATACTGGGGCCAAGGGTGAAAGATAAAATCTCATAATTAGAAAGCACAAGAAAGTCAGTGGTTTTACAGGGTGGGGGATGAAGAGACCTCATAACATGGGGAAACCTGAGGTACTGCGCAACAGCGTCATCAAAGAATAGGAAGGGAACTATACTACGTATGATGGAAGTCTGTAGATAGTTCCATCATGTGAAGATCATGATTTGTCTTGCTTTTTCTGAGTTTTTTTTTTTTAATACAAACAGAAGCAATGTGAGGTAGAAGTGATGGCTTTGTAATTACATTCTTTTTTGTAAACTGGGACTGCTCAACCTTGTCTCAGATTCATGTTTTAAGTATTTAAAATTGGTTAAAGAACAGTCAATGCCCTAGGAGAACTCCACCCCATATTTAAAATTCATCCTCCTCTTCCTTCCCTAAAAAAATGTAACTGGTAGGCTTCCAAACAGGGTTAAACACAGCTTACAGCTAATATTGCTTATATTCAGTAGGATAAAATCCACGTGGGTCGCAATAAGAAATTGAAGCATCTAACTTTTATGACATTTATTAATTCCAGCTTGTACCTGGAAATCCAAGTAATGTTTGCCAAGAGTCAATGCATGAAAATTATGATTTCAGGGTAAGAACTTGAAGCTACTGCCAAACTATGAATATTTTTTCTCTATTATGACAGAAAAAACATTGTAGACATTAAAGATCATTAAACTACCCTTTCAAGCAATAACATGTCTAGTAGGGGAGCATTATACAAAGTACATGCTATTTACAACAGCTACCATGAAATTTGCTGCAATCTCATTTCATATTTGAAGTCCTTTAAAATACAAAACCTATATGGAATTTCAACTACCATTCAATGGCTTTTAAATGTAACTAATTAAAATCCTTTCCTAGGGCAAGTTCTAGCAGCATGTCCAAGTGCACTAATAAATTTTTTTCAGCAGATCAAGAATTTCATAGGCATATAAATAGCATCTATTGCAAATTTACTTTATTCATTATTGTCATAGCACCTTCCTACAAATCCTTCTTAAAGATCATAAGAATAACATTTCCTATTTCAAACGTACAAGACTATCATGTACATAACAGCTGTCCTTTTCCTTCCAGAATGGAACACCTGATGTCACTATTTGTTAGCTGTTGTTAACACTCACTTGAATCTATTTAGATCTAAAATATTACTTCAGAAAGTCAGATTTTAGAAGAAAATGTAAACAGGGCTATAAAACTAAAAGTAAGTTTTTTGTCATTGCACACACTGATGCCTGCTTACACATTTCATTACTGTCAAGGTGGAAAGTAAAGCTAAAGTTTCCTTATAATAGACCAATCAGTAGTTTTATTGGGGCACTAAATATGGCCTGCCTTGTTGGTAATGCAAAAAAATTACTTAATAAATAGAAATGCTTTTTACCAGGGAATGAAATGCAGCTTGATTAATTTTCTCCAGTTTGACATCTATAACTTTGACATGCATTGTACATTTACCTACATATCACACAAACAACAGTTACTTGTAGTTGAAAATCTGAAAATTAACATTTACTATCTACTTTAGTTGTAAAATTTGAATTGGTTCAGAAATTCATAACAATTTGCAGGCAGGCAAAGAAATCATACAGAACATGTTTAAAGTAGATATTTATCACACCTAGGCAATGAAACTACATGAGTTGAATATTCATTATTTTATTTATATTTTAGAGGTTGTTCATGAAAAAGTTATACATCTGCAAAGAAATACAGGCAGCAATACAAGGCATCTTTATATCCCTGTGGATTTGCAGAGGTTACGGTACTAAAGCTTCAATTATAAAAAAATTCTACACTATAATAGCTATTTTACCAAGAATGTAATTCCTATAGTGCCCAAGTTCTGAAGATTGTGTTAAAAAGACTAATAAAATCACACACTCACTAACTGGAAACCCCTTTCTGCTCTAGATGAAAAGATTTGGAATACACTATAAAACCAAAATACAGACATTTCCTTTCTGAGTACAAAATGTACAATGTGAGAAGTAACAAAAACCTTGCTTTGCACATAACAATCACTTTAGTGAAAAATAAGGGAATAAAACAAGACAATTTTTTATTTTCTCATTATAAAAATATTTAACATAAGAGAGAAGGATGAGATTCTCAGAAGATTATAAGAAAATTAAAGGCATATTTATTTCAATATCAAAAAGCTACATGCCTAAAAGAATTTTTGGAGTGAGACTTCATACTGTTTGCATTTTAACAGCCTCATTATTCCTTTTCAGAAAACAAGTTTATCATATTTTGAATACCTCAACTATTTGCATTAGAGATACTTGTTCAAATAAAGACAGAATATGATATTGAATTAAAGAAAACAAGGTCTTTTCAAATACAGAAAATCCAACATTGAGCAATTTCATTTCACCCCCAGAGAAGAGTCAATATTAAATCCTACCACAGCTCTCACTTTCAAAACAACACAGTGGGATCTCTATGGCAATCACCATTTTACTACACTTTGTTTATAGTAACAATAACATTTTTTTTTGAAAGGGATTCCCACAAAGAAAAGAAATCACAAAGGAAATCTATCAAGTTTAAACAATTATGCAAAAATGTAAACATTTGTTCTTTGAAAAGAAATCTTTTTCCTCATTTTTCTTTCAACTACACTAACTCCAGTTCAAAAAGCCTACAATGATAATGTTAAGAAAAGTACCCATCTAATGTTGGTTTGAAGGGCTTTATAAAATAAGCATTGGCAATAGGCATTTATTTCAATAATCTGACTTTTGCCATATTCTCAGAATTCAGTTTTCAAATCAACTACACATGAAAACTGTCAAAAACATCCCAGTTTAAAGGCAAAAAGTTCTACACAGCAAAAGGAGACTCAAGAAACTCACTGAAATTAATCTTTCAGGCTTATTCAGTCATGCCATTTTGAAGTGTTAGAGAATAACTCATCTAGCACAATACCTAGTATTTATTAAAGGAACCAGAAAAACCCACTTCCAAGCTTAAATCATCTCATATGAACTCAGTAAAGACTGCAATATTACTGTGAACTCAGCACAGACTGGAATAAAAGCAAATCTGGCTTACATGTAAACATATAAGAAAAGGCAGTTTTCTCCAATTTAAAGAAATGTTTTCTTAGATTAAAAAGTAGGAGAAAATACTTTCCCTTAATACCTTTGGATTTTAGTCGTTGTGGTATACAACACCGCAAAGTGTTATATCTTTCTTCCAGTAAGGATTCTAATTGCGACTCAGCTTCTCAAACAAGGCATGTCAGAAATTAAAATCAGATCCTCCAATGGAAAAGCACAAAACATGTAAAATAACTTCTTAACAAAGGGGACATAGCATGAAAAAGTTATCCTAAAGCAACACAGAGCTGAGGCAGGATGAAAAATTCATTTCTTCTTTGTCCAGTATGGGGATGGCATGGGAAGGATTTCTTTTTTAAAAACACTGTTCTGAAGATACCACATTCTGAAATGATTAGAACATAAATCCCCATAGGAAGGACATGGTCAGTCTCAGACAATTTTGTTGTGAATGTTACACTAGCCAAATCATTCCAGCAGTTTACAGTGTACCATAAAATATTTACACAAGCTATGAACTATAAAATATTTTCACATGAACTATAAAATATTTACACTATCAACATCAGTTAGGAAAGAATGATGTGCTGTCAAGCTTGTATGACCCAGGAGTAAAGATTTTGTGGTCACAGATTAAATAAAACTATTGCAAATCATCTGGAAAGCTACAGGGACTATTAGGTTAAACAAATTAAGGCTTCCTGGTCTCTTGGATGGTAAATGTAACCAGGAAAGCATAGCTTATGTGCTTCAAGCTGGGTTTTACCAACAAGATAAAGAAAGGTTAGGCTCATAATCAAAGTGTACTAACCTCTCTGAATGTTCCTTCTAGCAAGGTGTCCAGATGTTGAAGAGGAGCTGGAGTTTTGTCTTTGAATCGTGTCAGCAATCGCCGCTCAATAGCTCGAAACTGTACAGCCCTTTCAGATAACAGCTCCTGATATTTCTCAGCATTCAAACGTAGCTGCAATTTAAGGGTTTTCAAGAATTTAAGGGTCACATACATTTCTGTATGCACATTCCAAATGAAATGGGAGAAGGATAGGAAAATTTTTGAGACAGCGTAATACTGAAATATGATGTCATTTATGCCAGTTTCTTTATACACCTTGTAAAGATCAACACTTTGAAGAATTATCATGTGCCACTGATATCAAAACTAATTGTCAACAGCCACAATAACCTCTGAAAATGCATAAATATCTCAATGAAAAGCCAATTAACAAGAATGAAATTTCACCAAGACACAAAGGCTTCCTCTTGTTTTGGTGTGCTATTTACAACACATACACAGTGTACTGGACTTGATATTCATTGCAGTAGAAAGCAAAGGGTTATTCCCTTAGCATGAATAGAAGTACTAAATTCTGTACAGTTCAAATTATTGTCTTTTTCTGAAGTTAAATCCTTTTTCCCTTTATCTATACTGATTAGCTAACACCAACAAAATTCCTGAAGTGTTCACAAAAGAACATTTAAAAGAAAAAATGATTAGAAGATAAAATAGGAATTTTTATTATCTGGGTACTTGATGTACTTTGCAATACATGCCTTGAAAATAAAAATTACTAAAGATGAGTCTTTCAAAAAGCTGTGATACCACCATACAGCTGATGTTATAACTAGCAGAAGAAACATCAAGACATACAGCTGTCCAAATGCAAGAAAAAGTGGCCCAAAATGAAGAGAACAGGTACGTTTCTTAAATTTACATCCCAGATTATATTTTAAAATAAGCAAATGTCATTCTGCCTGTACATTATTATGAAAAACTGCTCAGAGGTGCTATGGAAAAAACACTATGAAGTTTTACTAGAAGTAGTAGGAAAAAAAGGGACATCTCAGGTAAGGGATAACTCAGGTAATATTCTCCTAAGCTTGCCAAAAAAACAGTGTTGAAACTAACAGGGATGGAAGCATAAGAATGCCTTTAATAGAACATTTGATATTTTTTTAGATCAGATAATTACAGTAAAAAATCAGAAATTTCAAAAAAGCCAGCTGCAACATAATTAGAGTCTAAATTAGCACCCCAGATATCACACCTGTATTTAGAACTTCAATGTATTTAAGCTTGTTATACTATCTAAGGAAGCCTAGGTTTAAAGTATTTCTACAATAACCATCACCTTAAAAAAATTAACATATTTTACTCTCAAATTAGTTGAAAGACAGTAGAATAACTACTGAAGAGCTTGAAATATAGACCAGGATGTAAGCTGATTACTCAAAAAATCCCAGAAAACCCCAATGACAACTTCCACCTTTCTGTGTGGTGGCAGCTACACCTCACAGAAAATTCGGGAGCATGAAAGAACATCCAGTATTATTTCTCATTCTTGCATAAATATGTTGTTGCTTTTGCCCAAATACATGAGTTTAATAAAATTTTCAAATAGCTATTTCTCTTTTTTAACGGAAATATATGGGGGAGAGAATGCATGTATTTTATTTTATCAGCTATTTCTACAAACTAGCTGAACTACTGCAGATTTTTCATTGTCACCTGCATGGTGACAATGGTGAATTAATTACATTTCTTTTATTTCTGGTCTGGCAAACTTTCTTGAGCCTCCAATGCTACTTTTACAAGGACAGATTTTTTAAAATCAGAAGGGACTTCCCCTTATATACAACTTTATATTTTCTGAAAGCCAAATGCCTGTGGATACTGTAGTTATAATCTGATTAATCATTGCACTTAAATCCAATTTTAAACTAGCAGACCCTTAGCAACTCATATATTATGTAACATACCTCAAAATGTCGATCAATTAGTTCAAAATATTCTTGCAGGGGAATGGAACCAGAAAAGGTACATGCAAAGTCCTTGCAGTTTTGCTTCTTGAAATGCTCTTCTAGTCGGTGTATGAGCTCTTTTGTTACCAGCCAAAGGTCTTCCAGCTGATCACTCTGAATCCTGTATCGTTCTTTGAGTAAAATACAAGACTAATCAATACAGTTTTCAGATATATAAATTTTCTATACAATAGTTTAGCTAACACACAAAGAGAACTTGTATCCAAAGTCTACATGAGATTTTCTTTAGATATGTACATTCACGAGTGTTAAAGAAATACTCATACTTTATTGATTGTATTACACTTCATTTTAAATACAACTAATATTAGTAGAAAGTGATTCTTATCCAACTACATACTATGACTTTGGAAATATGGTTCAGTGTAGAAATGAAAAGCATTAATATAAACTGAAGTGAAAAACCAGATCCTGATAGCTAGTGTTATCTGCCCCAGCAAATTAATTTATCTTATTTCTCATTTTTCATTTAGTAAATGTCAAAGTACCAGGCTAGTGGAATGAGATTTTCTTTCTAGTTCATGTTTGTATAACCCTCTCTCCAGCTTCTAGAAAATCAGAATTAACTAAGATAAATGTTTAACATAATTAACTGCTATTAACTAATAAATGTCGAGAAAAACATTGTGGAAAATCATAGCAGCCTTTTAATATTAATTTCTTGAGATAAAGCATTTCCAAGCATGAGTTCCTTACATCTTTTCATTACACATCTGCCAATAACTAACAAAAAAAGGATAGACAGAAATGCAGGTATGGGTATTTGACACAAAACCTTTCCTTTTTTTTTGCCCTTGTTAAAAAAGTTCACGGTAAATCAAATTAACCAGAATTCTTTTAAACTTGAATGTACTTATTTTAAATTTTCTCAACATTAGTAATTCAAGATTGTTTGACATTACCACTGGCATCATTCCCAGGATATGTATTTCACTGAATACAGAATGACAAATTCTGTTTACAGTGTAACAGGAAAGAAGCAAGTTTTATTTAAAAACACTCTTGTTAAAGAAAAGAACACCATCTGCTAAAGATAGCATTCGACCTAATATCCATTTTTTAAACACTCACAATGCAATGGCTGGACTTACTTGGATGTACCGTCATACTTTGCCTTAAGTGATTTTTCCTTGATGGAAATTAGCTCAGATGTTTTCAGGCCAAATCAACAGTCATTCCACTTATAATTGACATATCTAATACATTAATGGTTTAAAATGGACAAAACTAATTTCCTCCAAATTGTGCATTTAGTTTCCATATACTGCTTGTTGGTCAATACAAACACAATCTAATTTTACCATGGTCTGAGTACAGAACATTGCAATCATTTGCTTTACATGATCTTCCAAGTCACAAAAAAGGCAAATTAGATTTAGAAACATTACAAAACTGAGAATATGTAGTTAAACTAAACACATGCTTCAAACAGGAATACAGTGAAAAAGAAAAAAGAAATAACTGTGCTTCTGTTCATCACATGCTTTTATGATGGTTAACCAACTTGAATTAGCTTTTTGATAAAATAAGTTCCATTAAAGGAAATTAAAACAGATTTTCAAAAAATTCTCCATCAGAAAAGCAGGAAACTGAGGGGCACCAATAGATTAAATAGGTTACAAAGTCTTTTCATGCTACAGTAGGCTGTCCAAATAGCACAACCCACATTAGGAATAGCTGTTCTGCCAGTAAGAAGTTTAGAAGATTCAGTTCACTTCTCAGCTAGAAAACCCACAACAGAAGAAAAAAAAACCCAGCCACAGTTAGCAGTCAAGTCTTCCTTACACTTTTATTAAAAGTCAGTTTTAAAAATTTCAGACAAAAAAAACCCCTAAAGTTTTAATCTAGCTGGTGTGAGCTGCTTTTAATATATATCTTCTGTCAAGATATACTTCAGGCTGGGCTTCTTTGCAGCATTCTTGACAAGTTGAAGTAATATATTCAATTGCTACACTGGTCAAAATGGATTAGCTAATAGAATTAAAAACTAACATGAAAACAGATGTTGCTTCTGTTTGCAGCTTCAGCAATGAAACCAAACTGAACCTGACAACCTTCACTGCTACATGCAACTCTTCCCATTCAGAACTTAAGGTCAATTTGATATGGAATATTGGAAAAAGAGGTCTTCCTCCATTGTCTATGATAAACTCCTTTCATGGAAAACCAGAAATAAGGCTTCATCTTAAAAACTTATTTTACTTTTCTGAAATACCATTACTTCTAGTCAAAATTTATCTACACATACAGGTTTCTTTTTGAAGAACATTAAATGTTCTCAATTAAAATGATATATAACCACTTTTACAAAGTATAAGCTCAGTGTTACTTACACAGTGCAGTAAGTACCTATCAAATAATACACAATTTCATCTACATTCATTAGTTTCACAGATCTGTGCAGTCAAGCACAATCATTTCAGGATCATGATATTCTACCAAACAATGCTTTTGCATTATCAATAGTCTCTGTTTATAAAAATATTCTGAATTATGTTTGACTATCAGAGATTTTACAAATTTTTACCTTTAAATAAGTTTTAGCTAGGTAACATTTCAAATGAGCAAATTTCCCCTAACACCTTCTCTAATCAACTCAGTTCAATGCATGAAGTGGATGCTGGAAACAGGCTGCTAACATAGAAAGTAACATCATACTACTCATTTGTTTTCTGAAGTTAGGATTCCCACACACAATAAATGAGTAGCCACACTAAGAGAAACAGATATTGTGAAGCTCCTTTGTAAAGTGAACTTCACAAGTAAAGCAGTGTGGGAAAGTTTATTCTAAGACTGTAAGCGTCATTCCTTGCTGGTGAATAAACAAACCTGAGAGGAAAAGATTGAGGATTGGGGATAGGGGTGCATGAGATTAAAAGTTATGGCCTTCAGTAGAAACTAAAATATATTCATTACATAGAAACAAACTTGCCCTTACAGCAATCAGATTAAATAACCATGCAAGAAAAAAATCCAAATCAAAGATTTAAACTGCAGTCAAGGAAAAAGTTATTTGTAAATCAGTTCTTTAGTTTTAAAAACCATCATTGCACTTCTACTTTAGTTAAAACTTTTTAAAATCCATTATTTAAAGAAATACTAAAAACAAAGTAACAATAAAACAGCATGTAAATAATGCATACAAAAAACAATACAGATGCATTTGATCCTTAGAAAAGTAAAATTCTTGGTACATGATTCTTCTTGATTCTTGGTACAATGAAAATTACTCTCCAGATGGTTTTTGTTTTTAAGACACATGATTACATTAGAAAAGGTATTAAATATTATCTTGCAGCTCACAACTGACCCCATCAATACTTATATAGCCCATCATGAACATAGATTTTTGAAAACAGTATGGAATATTATCCCTGTGTTGAAAAAATTTCATATCGACAAACCAAATTGAGATTTTTCACTCAAAGCAGTTCCCACTAAGCATTCACACAGTGTTCCAACTGAACCCTCTGCAGTGCACAGTTGTTTTTCTAGCTTTTCAATTTGTAGTCTGCTGTATTAAATGAAGACTTTGTGCTCTGCTGGCATGGAAAACGCTGAACACAATTGAATTTATTTGGTTCCAAGCACACGCCAAGAAAGAGTTTAGCAAATTGAGCAGTTGTACAGACCACAACCATGAACTCTTGAAAATTAAGAGAACCTATCTTTTTCAAAGAGCACAAATTCAGGTAGCTGGAACAGGACTATTTTAATCACAAACTGCTCTATACAAGAGATACTGGACCAGGTAACAACACATCTGCATGTCTGTTCCCACACTCTGTAAACATAATAAGAAAGACCTTGAATCCATAATCTCTTACTTACAAAGATATACAGGCATCTAAAAAGAAGAGATAGGCATTTAGTTGGATGTCAAGAAGCAAAGAGGGTCTGATGCCTAATTTAAGTCAAGGATTACTCAGTCAGTGGGAAGTTCAAAACTTGCTTTTTAATCCCTTTCAAAAATTTCAGTAGGTGACTAATTCCAAACACAGATGTTGAAATTCCTTTAAGATGAGAGATTTTTCCATTATAATGACAGTATTAGTTTATGAATAAAAAACATTGCTAAAAGCTTTAAGAAAATCCAATTTCCTCAATTGGATTTTCTTAAAGTGGTAGTGTACTCTATTTTGAGTATGATTTTTTTATTTTATTACACAATTTTATACTTAAGAGGAGGTAAGAAACCATCAAACTTTGAAACTCCTGCATTAATTTGCAAACACTGATTATCCTTCTTTGTATGATCCACATTTTCATTTTGTGCATATTCTAACGGATGATCAGGCTTCTTTTACTCTAATACTGATAGAACTTACGTGATGTTTTTGAAGCAAGAAGAGTGGTTTTTGAACCTGTTAAAAACTGAAATCCCAGAGCATTTGCATGGTCACCCTCAGACAGATCAACAAAATCTGAAAAAGAAAGTTAAACACCATTTTCTGTAATTCTATGCTGGCATTCGGCAAATCTCAATCCATAGCCAGGACTATATCAATCTTTGCACAAACAGATGAAAGAGATTTTTTCCCTTCTAAGGGTTCAAAAGTAACAAATATCAGCAGTTTGGTACACAATTCCTTCATTCAGCCAAAGGGAATCCTGCTTCCCTTCCCCAGCCTGAATACAAAAGGTTGGTTTCCCAGTGGTTCACTCTGTGCATTCTGAAAGAACTGCAATTAGTGTAGAGCCCAAAGACTACCACCTTTTACCATATGCAAGGTTACCTTTAGTTCAAATATTTATGCAAAATTTTCAAAAATTTTCAAAAATTTATGCAAAATTTTTGCAGAAATTATCAACAAAATGCTTAAGCCCACTTTCTTTTTAGCTTTCAGCATAGAGCAAAACAAACATCCAGTTTGCTAAAACAAACATCTAGTTGCTAAAACTAGCTACTCTGAAATGTTCATCCAAGTCCACCTTTCTTTTCATTCCATGTATTGGATTATACCAATTCAAAAGGTTTAATTTTAGAGTACCATATTTGAAAAAATACTCTTTGTCACCTCTACTCCCACTACTTCTCCTGAAAATACAGCAAAACAGGGAGAAATGAGACAACTTTCATTGCTTTCACCAATAATTCAAATTTTGTTCATAGATTACATCACCATATTAACATAATAAACAGCATACTCTTTTTATTTAATTACTGTAAATGGAATGAACAAAAATCAGAACAATTTAATGCCTTCTTAGTCCTATGCTTGTGTTGTATTCTCAACAATGCATCCCTAGGTTAAAAATAAAATGTGCTATTCTGAAAGCATTATTGTTTAGCCATAATGGAAGCCCATTATTAAAACCTCAAAATAGACACCCTTAAAAAAACAACAAAAAAAAAAAACACAAAACAAAAAAAAGCAACAAACCAACAAATATCACCGTTCTCAAATACAGTGTATAAGCTTTCAAAGAGATCCAGCAACTTGTTAAAAACAAAGTTGTTGTTTCATACAGCTCTCAGCATATTTTTCCAGAACCTTAGTCATCTGAATTACAAAAACTTAATCACTGCCAGACTGAACTTATTCACAATCACTTTCTAAACCCTGTTTATTAATTTCTTCTTGTGCAAATACAATCATCTACACCCATGATATAGTCACAAAATATTTACTGAAGTCAACTGTATTCTCTTATTTTTGCCTGTGTATTATTAAGCTAAATGAGTCATTTCCTTTTAATTCTCTTGAAATCTCTACGTTATATTTTATTTAATATCAGCAACTAGCACTCAGTTTGCCAGTTTGATATTGGTTTCCTGCATGGAAACATTTTGTGTAATGCATCCTCAATTTTTATTTGTTTGCTTGTGATTACAACATATTGTACAACAGAGTAATCCTGTGGTAACTTCCACCTCCTCTCTCTTCCAAATTGTGAGCACATAATTACAGCAAAGCTTATTTTCTTAGCATAACACTTTATAGTACTCAATTTCATTCTTCTTTTCCCAGTCCTAAGTGGAAATTAACTCCTCCTTCATGCTACTTTAATATAATGCTGAAGAGAAAACATAGCTTGGGTTTGCACATTAGAAAATAATGCTATATCTTCTTTTTGGTCCAAGCAGGCTACTGAAATTATTAAATATAGTCAGCTCCAGACTGATACATCAAATATTCTACAAGTCATCCTCCAAAGCAACTATACCCCTTATGTACAATATTTACCACTTCTGCTTTGCCCTGCTCACCGTTTTTTAAATAAATGCCCATGTTTTCCCTCTTACAACACCTCTTAAGCAATTTTATGTAAAATTTATGTCTGCATACATAAAAATTAGATCTATACCATGTAAAGAACTCTGCATTTTTACCAGAGGCAGGTATACTACCTCAGGTGTATAATTATTGAAGTATTATGCCATCATTTCTTTCAAAATATATTTTTTAATATACTAACATGAGCTTTTAAATTACCTCATTACTTCTCATTGACAAACCATTCCTGTTGGGAGCTTCTAACACCTTCAATATTTAAAAACCTACCTGGAAAAATGGTGACAAAACTGATGGGAGGTTTGTTGGTATCAATAGTTAGTTTGTGGTGTGCTGCTTTTGAAGGTTGAGCTGGAAAGCAAACTAACTTCAAAGGCAGACTGAAGCTACACTGTGAAACTCTTGGTATTCCTAAAATGAAAGAACACAGATTCATTTAAGCAATGCATTAAAACCAAACTATATAAAATTCTCCTTTTTTCAAATTTTCCACCTAAAATATCTTAAATTTGAATACTTCTAATTACCTTCTCAAGTGAAGATTTTTATATGCATGGGAAAGCAAGAATTATTAATAAAACCGCACACTGTATTTATACTAATTAACATGCAAAGGAGATTAGTTTTATTTAATTCTCTAGACAAACAATACCACTAACATAAACAACAGCTGTGTGATTTCTCATGATGCTTCAAATACAGAATTGAAGCATCAACATTTTCATCAGGAATAGCACAAATAAATGCTTTATATGAGTATATTTACTCTTTTTTTATATACTCAAATCAAATCTATGTAGCCTTCATATTATCTGTCAGAATTTTGTGGCTTAGAGAAAGAATGCATCCAATGGAGGTTATTACCCAAATGTATATTAAAATCTTTCAAAATATTGCATCATAATAGAACTGGAGAGCAAACTGGCTACTGTCTTGAATATCAGGATCTACTATCACAAGCAATTTCATCAGAATGGTGCAGGAAAAAAGAGGAAGTTTTAACACTCACATTCAGAAAACACATTGGAGGTGTCAAAAATTTCCTCAGATATAAATACTATTTCAAATTGCAGGCATGTCAGCAATTGCCTGGTATGTTCTATGCAAAAGGCAAAAGTGCTCATTGCTATGAAATATGGAGTACTTGCTCTGTTGAGAAGACAAATTGTGGGGTTTTTAAGGACAATTTTTTGATGAAGCACTAACAGGAAAACCTTAACAAAATAGATTTTTTGAGACAATAAGTTACTGTCAGGAAAGTCATGAAACTGATAGCAACACAGAGGTATATACAGAGAGTATAAAAATTGAGCTTAAACATCCAATAGCCATCCAAGAAACTCTTTTTGCTAGTAATTTTATTTGTTTGCTGCTTCTCAGAGCTCTTCCAATGAAAAAATTACTTCTAAGAATCATCTCAGGGTAAAAATGCTACCATAAGGTTCAGATTATTCCCTGCGGCTGTCAATTCACAAGCTGTTTTAGCTGGCTGATAATGCCCCCAAGTACCTATTCTGCAGCAGTTTATAAATATAAAATCATAGAAAACTGAGCAGAAAACTCATTCATATTGAAGACAGGTCTTCAAAATTTAAGTATCTCCAGGTTCCAAGGAAAATTTCTAAAGGCATACTTAAAAATTAAACCCATGATCTGTCAGACTGATTAATTCAACTGTATCTTCATCGTCTGATAGGAGAACTAAAATTTTTCTTGATGACATCATAACACAGATACCTTAGTAAGTTAGATATGAAGACTTATCAACAAGAAAAAATTAGTAGCAAAAGTAGGCAAAATTATTTTAATATATTTTTTATATTTAAAATAAGATATTTTTTCTGGTTTTTCAGACCAGCTTTTTCTACTGCTGTCAGTCTGCCTCATCATAAACATAACTTTTCAATATTTCAGGCAAAGGTCAAATCAAAACTAAATCAAGTCTTATCTAGTGTTTGGAGGAGACTGGGGAGATTTCTAGTTGATTAATCTAAAAGAGCTACATATAAGAAAAACAAACCAAAAAGCTCCAACAAAATTCATCACTACAGTGAAAACTTGCTGGGAAATGTTTCAGGGTATTTCAGAATTGTAAATGGTAGTAAGGAAACAAAGTAGTAGCTACGTGAGAGAGTCAGAATTTCCTCCACCCATTGATATTCTGTCTAGCAACACATCTCACTTCATTTAGAGCTGTGATATTTTGTGAGATACACAATTTTAGGACTACAATAAAGAAAAAAGAAATGGAAATACAAATTCATATTCTCCTCTATTCTGAGACAAAACAGATGATGTCTAACATTATTTCATAAGGTACTAGTATTTAAAGGCATACTATGCACTTACCTGCCTATAAGTATTTTTATTTTAAGTTTTATTACCTATAAGTAATAAAACAGCCACATGCCCTGTAGATATTATTTCATTTCCAAATTCCTCATGCATTCATTTAGTTAAATTTGAAACATAACACTAATGTGCATGACAAAAAGTATTAAAACTCAAATCTCCCAATTTAGGATTCTAAATATTCAGAGAATTAATATTCACTCTGGCATTGATGACCCTGAGTTTACATAGTCCAGCGGACCCTACAGTAACCCAAAAAGATTTTGGCACAGATAATTCTACAAACTTTACTGTTCTCTGCAATATTCTTTTCAGGATAAAGCTTTCATCTTGTTTTGATATTTCTTAAAACAAAAACCCAATCTTCATTTTTAGAATACTATTCTTTCAAACTGTATACACTTGTTTTTATATAGTTTATTGATAGTTAACTTTTCAATTCCTTTGTCTAGCAGAAAAATGTCACAGTGTAACAGTTATTCTTGTCAAGAGCAGGATCTTATTGAGATGTTTTGAGCATCTACTTCCCATACAACACATCAAGGTCCTCTGAAATATCTGGAAACCAGAAAAGGAGGGGAACTGTAACAGTTACCTTGTTTCTTTTTACTGCACTTACTAAGCTCAAAAGACCATAAGTATTGAAAAACAAGACCATACATACATCTAAATCTTTTGTTTATGAAAACTGCAAAACTGAAAACTCCCTTTCACTTGATCTCTAAATCTCTGACAATCAACTTTCTTACCTTCCCAAAACACAAAAGAATGTGTACTTAATATACTTATTTTTTAAGTTCAGAAAATATCTTCTACTGCACTGCATCTTTCCAACACATCTACAACTATACTGCAAAACCACCCTTCTCTCTTTTTAGTCTACATATACATAGGCTCATTTTCCAGTCTTTTTTTGTCTCTTAATTGTACCTTCTCCAAGAATTGTATCTACCACAATCATAGCTAAGTTTTGTATCGCTGGTAGTCTCAGACAGAAGCAGCCTTGCAGCCTTGAATAAGATGTTTCCAATAGGAATTGGAATGAAGACATGTTGTGACATCATTCTCAGAGCTACTCAACCCAAACAGCATAAATGCCTAATAGCTGTTTCAGTTGCACCAAAGATATAATTTAACTGCCTAACTGCTAAAACTGAGAAAAAAATAGATATAAGAAGGTATAATTGTTTCAAATTTCCAATCTCAATGTACAAGGAACTTAATGCTTTGAAAAATTCCCCCATGTTACATATGAGAAAGTGCAATATGCTTCACCAAGAAATGTCCTTGTGACCTTCTATTCTCTATATCCACACCTTCACAGCATCAAAACAAGAATAATAACATAGAAATAACAGGCAAAATAACAGCTCCCTTCCAAATCTGTTTAATTCAGCATACATTGCCACTCATAAAACTTAGCATTTTTTGCTTTCACTTACCTTCAGGATTGAGCTCTGCCATATGAACAGCAACAGGACAAAAGGGGGAAAAAATGCATGAGATATTAGTTAAATTTAAAGAAAATATAAAGGAAGTGTAACAGGGTTTTAAGAACTTAAGCCACATTTGTTAAGTAGACAATACATAAGAACATAATACTAGCCAAAAACCAGACATGAGACCACATTCATCAATAGTGCAACCCCATCCAAGTGATTGACTCATCAAGCTTTAGCTGTATGAATCCCACAGAGATAGACCGAAGTGTGATTTGGCCACAAATATGGATATTTTAAAAACTAAAGAAGAAACATTCTCTGTTCAAATAAAATGAAGTCACAAAAGCACTTAAAGCTCATTTACTAGTATATTACACTTAAGGATTTGACTGCCAAATAATACTAGCGTTTGTATGGAATTGGACAGAATTATCTCAGATTCATAATTTAAATAAATATCAAAAAAATTAGCAGATCTTATTCCTAACCCTAATTATGTTCCTTTACTTAGAAGTCTTCAAAGTTCAGCCACCAAAGATAATTTTTTAAAATTTATTCTTCAGTTTCTACAATTCTGTTAGATGTCATGTCTGCTTGCTCTTTTTTTTAATAGCATATAAACCATCAAACGCATTCAAGATGCAAGATTTTCTTACTTCCCTGATCAAAAGGCTTGCAAAATCCAACTTAATATTTAAAATACAAATGTAAGTTTTACTAGCATTACCTGACATAAAGATTTTTTATTAATATATATTTTATTAATATATATAAATATAACTTTTATTTTCTGGTCTTAGGAAGCAAAATTAGAGAAACAAGACCAGCAAAACAAAAAACAAGCTTTCAAAATCAGAGGATCCAAGATATTCACTAGTGTGCTACCTATTCAGTCATGCCAAAAACCTGTCTAAGGCCACATCATTAATCTGGAGAGTTATGAATGCACAGCATCTCATTCACAAGGAATATGCAGGCAAAATCACAGGACAGAGGGACTGAAGTTGTACAAACTGTCCATGCAAGCTCTCAGTTAAAAGGGAGGACTTCCTTTTCTTTAAAAACATGTTTCATTACTTTTCTGGAAATAAATGTTTCAGTCATACAATACCCTAGACTACCATCATAAACACAATGTTTCAAGTGTGAAGTGATACAAAGAAAATATTTACATTAAAGTGTCAATATAGGATAAGGTACTCAAGACCACCACCCTTCACAGAAGCCTTTAGTACATATGCACTTCTTTCACGCCAATCTACTCCATTTGTGCTGGCACAGTTCTGTCTTTGCACAGTGAACCAAATCAGCAAATCTGGCTGAGAAACAACTGGTGACTGTGTGACCACAACAGGGGAGGAGGTGCAGGAGCAAAGCCAAGCAGCAAGAAGTAAAGAACTGACAGTTTAAACTGGTTTATGAAGTATTTAACATGGAAGCCCTGCCTAAGCACAACTTCTCAGTAACCTGACACATTCACAGGTTTGTGTGTAGAACACTAAGCTAATAAACATTCAGTTATGGATAGCAGAATAAATTTACATATTCTATCACTAGGACATTAATATCATAAAATAACGAGTTGGTTTCCATTTCTTTAGGTTAGTTTATTGTTTGGAATGAGTATGTTCATCTGTTAAAAAGGAAATGAGGAATAATCACTCCCAATGGTTATTCAGATGTCATTCTCTGTGGCGAGGCATTATTGTCACATTTGTTGGCAGAGAAGAAGGGTGAATAGTCATAAAGATGTAATCAACTTCTCACTCCAAGAGGTGGAACAGAAGCAAATTGATAGGACAGGGTGAGAAAGCTGGTACAGCTGTTTCCCAAGCAATAAGCTTATGATTTTACTTCCGTAAGATCAACTATACAAATTGATGCAACATAAAATATTAACTAAAACTGAAGACTAGATAAATATTATTTCTTTAATTACTACCACCTTTAGTATATTTCAAAATAACATGTATAAGATATACATAGGGAAAAAGGCCTCAAAAAAAAGGCACATCACATCTCCAGTGGCTTACCTGTTGGTATAATATATGAAACTATACAGGTTCCTTCTAGTTCTGGTGGAGAACAATTCTCCTTCAAAAAGACAGACAGGACCACAGTTTCAGATGAATCTGGTTCTAAAAAAAACCCACAAAATTAAATTAAGTAATAGGAGCATCCAAATGAAAGCAGCATATTTTCTGGCACTTTGAGAATTATTCTACTAAATTATGACATTTTCCCTATTAGTTCATCTTTATCAAATAACTGTACATGTCTTTTTTATAATCCTTAATTTTTAAAAGGCAAACTAGGGCCTCAAAGTATCTTGAAGCATAACCTCTAAAACAATTCAACACACTGAACATGAAGAAGATGAAAAGAAATTATATTTACATTACAATTTCAGTAATTTATAAAGTCATTTGCCCCAATCACATGTTGAGGAAATATAAGAACTGCCCCTTCAAATGAGAGTAGCAGTTAGTAAAGCTCTGTTTCAACAGGGACTATTAGTTCCCATTTCAGAGCAGAAGTGGCCTGTAGTTCCAACTGAAGCAGCAGGCATATTTGACTGACCTTAAGCTCCATGTAATCTTAAAGGCAATCCCACCTGCAGTCTTACCAGCAGAGTTGGAAAAAGGCTAAGATCCTTTAATCTCTTTGAAACAATTGGTGCTGCTTTGGGAACAGATGCTAGACTGTCCCCCAGTCGACAAACTTATTGTCCCTGTTTGTAGATCGAGACTGGCATTTCTACACAGACAGAAATGTCAGCAAAACAAAACAACGCAGCAGAAGTACAAGAGAATAATTGGGGGGGTTTTGCCTCCATCATGAAGCAGCTCTCTCCACCCACAACACATCATACCACAACCAGGGGAAGAAATCCATTCCTATCTACTTCATCTTCCTCCACCAAGCAGTGTCTAGAAGCCATGGATTGCAGGCAAGGCAAACTTATAATTGCTTTAACTGCTTTATATCTGCAACAATGCACTCACTGGAGGCTGGGCTATACCTTTTCAAATCTCAGAAAAAGTAATAGTATACAACAGCTGTGATGACAGTGCCATCATTTACCGAAATCATCAAAGACAAACTGGTCAGAGGTCACTGCTAACGGAGCTTGTACACACACAGCCAGGCTTGGCTTCTGCGCAGTCACTCTGCTCTGGATTGTTATCTAGATCAAGGGGCATACAGAAGTATTTAAAGGAAGCAACTAATTAAACTCAACAGCAGGAAAAAAAAAATCCATAATCAACAGAAAGATATGAAAAATCTGCAAAGATCAATTCAGAAACAACACTTCAGGACTTGAAATTTCAAGTTCAAAACTGATATTTTCATTTTACAATTCTTATTTACTCACAACCAATACATGATATACAGTAACTTGAAAGATTAAAAAACCTGAGGGGACTTCTCAAGTTGTTTGTAATTTTAACCTAAGCCAAACTAAAGCAAAAGTATTAATTGAATGTTTAATACCCTGCAAGAGTCATGATCATTCATTCTAATACAAACAGCCATAAAATTTTGCAATTTTTAGATGATTATAGTGAAAAAAACGAATAATAAAATCAAAGATAACCAAAGAAATTACTTCCATTAATTGCAAACAGTAATGCACAGTCTTCTGAGTAACTTCAAGTCTTGTTTTAATTTTTAATGCAAACAAAATAAGAAAATCAATATACAGGATAGTCAGCACAACAGCTCCAGATAATAAAAGCTCAGTTAAACATAGAGTGGCCCTCATTGCTCCTATTGTGCACAGCTATTATTCCACTGCAAAACAAATGGATATCAAAAGTATCCCTAACTCATATCTAAAATGAAAGTATAGTGGTGACTGAGATCTGAATGTGATCTGCATAGACAGGGACCATATATCTAATATCATCTCTTTTGCATTGCTTGTCTGCGAAGGAGCTCACTACAGCCAGGTTAAATCAGTTTAGAATATTACTACTTATAGAATTACTGAAGTGTTAGGAAACTAATGTGATTAACATAATTAGCATCAACATTGATTTAGGTTGAACAATACACCCGTTATAGGAACTTATCACATAAAAAAGATTCTAGAAAAAATTGAATTCATGGTAATTCCTACATTTACTGGTTTTGTTTCACTAAAAGGTACAAGATTCATAAACAAGAAAAGAGAATGGGGAATTAATTATGTCTTCCTATTAAAAAGCTTATAAAATATATAAATACATAATTAATTTGAACTTCTTCAAGCAGACTTATCACTGATTTTATCAGAATAGCCGTTTTATCCTGTATCATTTTTAGTACTTAAAAATGCACAGAAACATGTTGAACCAAGTACAAGTAAACCACACTAGTCTGAGGGCATCTGATTCAATGAGTTCAGTTACCCTCTGAATTTTTCACTCTAGGCAGAAAGAGAACTTGCCAGGTTCTCAAAAATGGAACTCCGCTTATATTCTTAGAAGATCATCCTAAAGTCAAAAATAAAAATCATGATCCTTTTTAGGCAGTACTGAGGAAAAACTAGCACATGCACACATACACACATTTTCTTTACAATCAGTTACAGGCACCAGCTCTCATGAAGATCTTCAATTTTCTAATTAGATTTTCCTACTTCTTTTTTAACTGCTAACATTATGAAAGTCTTTTTACAAAAGAAAGTCTATTTTTATTTTATTGACAACTAAAAAGGCAGCTGAAAATTACAAATGTCCTATTTGAGTAACCAAACATTTATGGCTGTCAGAAAAAATATTCTCATTACTTCAAAAATTATTTCATTCCATCCTAATGTTTCTGTGATGGCTTATTGATAAGCCTATCAAAAATAAAACTGCAATCATTTTCTGACTGTAGCAGAAGGCTAGCCAGAATGGCACCATGTCATACTAAGGAGAAAAAAAATTAAGTATATATTGCATTTCAAACTTCACTCATTTTCATGTTCTAAGTGAAATAAACAGAAAGTGACCAGCTTATTACAATTTGCCACCACCATTCAAATGCTGCTGTTTGAGTTAGGCACAGTACCTTTACCGTGACTGATGGTACAGCCCCTGCTTTTACCTCACTGTCAATGGCTTGCTGTGAAGAAAATGATGAAAACAGAGTAAATTCAATGTTCCACATGAACAAGAAAACACAATAAAAGCAATATTGCTTTCCTACCATCAACTTGATAAACACAGAATTAACATTAAAGGACTTATCATTCCTATGACAGATTAAAATACCACAAAACACATTCTGAGTTCCTTCTGAAAATGTGAAGCCTCTGTTTGAAATTCCCTGCAAAAAGGATAGCAAAAGGTCATGAATGCTGTACATGTAAGAAACTAGTACACTCCGATGTATATACAAATATTTGAAACTGTTTTGTTTGGCACACTACTTTTCACTGTATATTTATTCAAATTCTGGAAATACCTTCTGTTGTTCAGTAGAGAAAGATGGCTTCCAATCTGCCAATATATTATATACACAACATAGCATCTACTATAAAATCACACACTATTTTATAATCAGAAATATACCTGAAACTTCAAAAGAAAATTCTAGCAGGCACTTCAATACTCTTGCTAATTTCTATTTCAATAGGCAATTCCATCTACTTCAAAAATTATCTTGGCCTTGTGGTCTATTTTAGTTTTATTTTATGCTTATATTTCATATTGAAAACAGGTCAGTTACTACAGTTAAAGAAAATGTTCCCATTTAAACTATTATAAAGAAACACTTCTCTCACTTCTGCTATAATACCGAATTACTGATTTGAACTTATGCCTTGTCATTATAAAAAAAGTCAATTAAAACCAGTATAAGGGCCACATCTGCAAAGCTCCTAAGAAGTCAGGAGGCTGGTAGGCTCTCTGGGTTCCGGAAGTAGGACTTTCATTTGTACATTGTGCACCTTTCTCAACTTAAAAAATACAGATACTTTCATATTGTCATACTCTCTGGTGACCAGTGGATGATTCTGAAACAATAGCGGGGGTATAAGGATATGGAACCTTACCATATTCAGCTTTCAAAAATCACCTGGATTTCTTGAATCAGAGGCCACACACAGGAGGTGGTGTTAAATAACAAAATTGTCCTCCACTTGCTTATCTACACAATATTAATAGTCTATATCCTCTTTGCTTTTATCACAAACATTGCAACTTCCATCTTTTCACAAGTGCAGAAGTAGCACTGAAAATTCTGTAGTTCCAAAGGTAACTGTAGAAGCCCTAAAATCATTCCTACACTTGTTTATTGATCCTTCCCCACAAAGTAGCATATCAGATTTTTTCTTTCTAGGCAGCTACTGAAAGAACCCACAGAAAAGCCAGCCACACAGGAAACTAAGATATATGGGCAGATATAGATTCAAGGCTGTGGTTTGATTGATGGACTGAATTACACATGAAACAGACCAGTTGCATCTGGAAGGTTGAGCAAAGGAGCATAGCAGCATTAGAGCATTCTGTGCACCTAACAGTTCCAAGTGTTGTGAGGAGATTATTGCAGCTAGCCAAGACCATGTCACTGCTCTTTTTTCCACAGAGAAGAGCACTAGGGACATTAATGTACATTATAAAGAGGTCCATCTATCAAAGAATAATATCCTTATGTATTTTTTAAACAGTAAGTAGCTGTGAAAAATCAGTTTTGCCAAAATTAGTGGCCAGTAATGGATAATGTTGTAGTGCAACATGTATGTTCTGAAATACTTAAAGTGAAGAGTTTTAAGAGACAATATAAGCTCTCCCAAATCTTAATTTGAATGATTTTTGTAAACTCCGTATGTATATAACATGAATAAACTAATTAGGCTGCAACATCAAAGAATATTGAGTGACTGGATGTCTGAGAAAGATTATTTTTTACAATGCAGCTTGAGTGGTTTGAGTACTCTATCTTTGAATGATCCAAGGATGACATTTCAACTGTTTCCCCCAATGTTTACAACTGCTCACCAGTACAACTTTTCACCATTACAAAGTTATTCCAGACTCAAAGTTCTTCTTCACTTACGTTTGCTTAGCCAAGAATCTAAAGGTTCCCAGGCAGAAGACAAATAAATAATTTTAAGAATTCTAGTTAAAATCTCTAATAAAAGTGGGTTCTACTTGATAGAAAACTGAGGGCCATGAAGTTCAGTCACACAAATGTGAACAGTAATCACTGTGCACGATCAGTCATTATTTACTCATCTGAAATCAATGGTTTTTTTCAGAGTAATTTCCTTTTTAAACGGGTACATACAGATTCTTCATCCAGATCAGCTGAAACTTCTGCTGTGACAGTTACATCTCTCTGTTTTTCAGATTCAGGCAAAATATCTGAAAGAAAAAAGCAAAAGCAAATCAGTTCTTCTTTAAGAAATAGTCAGCTACATTCCTAAGAATAATACAATTTCAACAGCATCAAGTCTCAAAGTTACACCTCTACACCTACGAGCATAAAGAAGAAACAGCAATGTGTATGATTTTGGAAACTTCCAAAAAAGCAAATTTATTCGTTTTCTATAGACAACTTAAATCTGGATCTCATTCTAGGTTTTATGTATGAAGATTTTACACATAATATCCATGATCTTCAGAGATTATAAGGCATTTTTAAACTTTTGTCCTTGCATGCAGATGCCAATATACAATGAATAACTACCTCCAAAATAACACCCCACATCTCATAGCACTTTCATCTAAATAATTTGATAGTGCATATGTTAAACAAAGATTCTGTGTCTAACAGTCTAATCTTCAGCAAATTCCTCTGCATTAGGAGGTACATCAAAGTTTTATGCATCATGTATATCTAAGATCATTACATGCAGCTTGATTAAAATATGTCACCAGATGATTTTCAGGACTGTCAACATACAAGGCAAAGAAAGCTACAAACTCACTTATACGAAGCCTTATGCCAATTCACACATAAAAAAAAAAAAAAGTTATACAAATTAAAGCCTTAAAAACCTTGAGGAATTGCATAACCTTCTCTTAAGAGTCCAGAAGTACAGCTCTAGGGTATTTGCATATTTCTGAAGAGCACTTCTATTTTTTTACCACACTAAATGTATTGGAAAATGAAAAATCTGAACAGGAAATATATACTTCCTAAAGTAACAAGGAAAGAGTTGCTGTAAAGGGACAATTAACATATTAACTGAATAACTGAGAGTGTGAGCACATTCAGAAAGCTGCAAGAATTTTATTACACACAGGGTCCTGAAAATATCTAGAACTAGTAGACAGCATATTATCTCTTTCTAACAAGAGGGTCAAGGGAAAAGGTTTGGATGAAGACAGAAAAAAAGTATTCATTTTCTTGTGCTCAGAGAGGAATGCCTCTCTTTACTATGAGAGAGAAAAGTAAAACCTAAACACATTTCTCCAATACCACCTAGTAAAGAAGTTTAGGTCTATTTGATACTGCCACAATTGCAAAGAACTGCCAATTACATATAGCACAGCACAGTCCATTCTCTTTCTATCCCTTCTTAACCATTTCTCTTCTGGTTGCTTCTTCAAGCTAACTATGATGCACCCTCTATCATATACTCATTTTTCTATTAGAAGTACAACAGAGATCACAATCAAAGTTTACATAAAAGTATCAGCTTTTTGTTACTATTAAACTTAGCCAAAACATGTATGTTTAATCACTTATGTCATCCAGACTAATGCAAGTAACATTAGATTTAAGTTAGTATAACAGTTAAGATTTTAAAATATTTCATCAGTTTATACTGTAAATCCTTATTCTTCAAAATGTATAAAACAGCTTAAGTTCAACAGTTTAATGGTCAGCACTGGACAGAAATACAAGACATTTATGGAAATAACTACTCTAAGGTTTTTTTAATATGATGACCTAATTCTAAATACCTTCCACGTTTGAAAGACAAAATGAAACAAAGAAAAATTATTTCCATATAAGGGTAGATATTTTTACACACAAAACAACACAAGCTCTGAATGTACAAGCATGAATTCAAAAGTCAAGAAAGTCAACAGGTCATTTTAAAGATTGTGCTTAGGAGTACTTAACGGCAACCAAGGTTCAAGCTAAGAAAAAAAAAGCCAAGATGAAACAATGCCAAAACATCCAAAACTGACAGATATTCTTCGTAAGTAAAATGTTTGTTGTATAAAAATGTTCTCGTACAAGTTTTACATCTAGTTAAAACCAAACACAACATCATTAGGGCATTCCTCCACAACAAAAAGAGCATTCATAAAAAACTCATCTGAAAACACCACTTAGATGAGATTAGACAAATTGAGGAAGAAAAGGAAATTAAGAAAAAAGAATGGTGAAAAAATAAAAAATATTGATAGTAAATTTATCAGTCATACCATGACAGTTATTACAAAATTTGAAAAGGACAGCTACAGTTCCTTTCTCTCTCCTTTGATCTTCCAGACAACATGTTGAAACTAACAAGCTGAAGTTGATTCACTTCAAATGGATTTGTTCTTTCCATCATGCTTTTCTTTCCTTTGGTTATGATAGACAGACAAAATTGTCAAATACCTATAAGGATGGACTGTGGTAAAAAATCAGTGGAATTTATCCACATCTATATGCTTAAATAACACATTAGTGGATTTGGAAAATTAAAATCCTGATATAAGTCCACCATTATAATGGATGAAGTTACATGTAATTACAAAACAAAGAAATCTTTGTGTTGTAAAATCAAACTCATGCCTGAAGATAAATAATTTTTATTTTCTAGGAATTTCAATGGCAAGGTTTTTCACTTTTTTTTTCACATCGAAAACACCATGAATATTTCTTTAATGCATTTTAAGAATATGCTACCTATCATCAAGGAAAAAAAAATATTTTGCTTTGTTTGTTGAATATTTTTCCATAGCTCCCTGTAAAATCACATGCTTCCAATTCCCTGTGCAACCCAGGCTGTTTAAAAACATAGTTATGAAAACAAACTTTGAAGGAACTCTGTAGAAATTATGTGCCCTTATTTGAATCAAATTAATGCAATTTATTAGCAATGTATATAAATTCCAGAATTTATAATCATCAGATATGTCACTCTGTTCTACAAATATGCTCTTGAATAGTTAAACCAACAGAAAAATTGCTTTAAAAGAAAGTAATTTTGTTCATTTCATAACTTAAAAAGACATTTGTATTAATAAACAGAATTTGGCAATACTTTTACTCACTCTGAAGCCTAACTACATCAGACTGTTGAACTTCAAGTTTTCTTGCCTTTGGGTAATCCATGCACTGTCAGATTTTATTCTGAACCCTTGAACTAGTGAGAATTATCTGCAACCTGATGTAAACATCTTTAACCTTTCAACAGCATTATGAAAATACAAAGAAAAAGCCCTATATTCAAGGGCTTTACTGTCTAGAATTTATTTATTTCTTTTTCTTAAATACTAAATTTTCTACAGAAATATAACTATGGGTAAAGTGTGAAAATAAAATATTTTAAAGTGCTAAAAAGGCATGTAAAATTATAGAAAAATAAAGAAGTATACCTTGCATTTTTGTGGCCTCCCTGATGATTTTCTGAAGCTCTTTCATTTCAGCATTCATTTCTTCATAGTTTATTTCCCTAGAATCAACCTTAGGAGCCTGGAAGAGTGAAGGATCAGTTCCAAGGTATGAACACTGAAGATGACCATCATCACTCAGAGTGACTATAACACCCTTCAAGTCTCTGCATGGAAAAAACAAAGCTTACTAAGAAATTCAGAAGAATCACAGAAGCAATAACATTAATAATATTATGCAATCCTTAATTCAGACATCTTCATTAATATTTCTCCCACTTGGTGGAATCATACCTAAGAATGGATTCGTCTTAGATTACTAAAGTGCCCTTAGAATCTGTGAATCTGTACAATCAAAAGAGGTAATGGAAAGGATCAGAACAAACAAGCTAAATAGACCAGACAGTTGTAACCTATTTATTCATCTAAGTCTTTGAAGTTGCAATATTTAGGTTACTATGCAGGAAAAATAATTTGCTAACTGGAATAGAAGGGAAGGGAAGGAGGGGTTAGAAGAAATCATGAACAGATGGAAGATGCTCACAAAGACAGCTTTAGGGCTTTGATGGTATCAATAGCTCCCCTAACCAATTCTTTGGCTGCTATTGCAGCTACTGTGCTGGCTTCAAACCCTGGCTGGCTGTTGTCTGCAGTATCCATCTGAAAGGAAATCACATGGATCCAGAGCATTCCCCTTACACTCCTCTGAATCAATACAAGTGAGTGTTTTATTAGATACACTATAGTCTCTTATGTCATGGGAAAAGTTCTTCACTGCTCCTACAAAAATCCCACTCTTTTTGTGTATCTGATTTGTACAAAGAAAATGCAAGATTTAGGAAAGTATTTAACAAACTATGAGACAATAGGGACTACTGCCAGCATTTTGCATAATTGGAAGCTTATTCCTCACAGAAGAGAAAATGAACAGTAAAGACTAACATAGAAGTTAACAGGAGCATAAACTTTCACTTTGTTTTTTAAAATACCTACTTTTAATTAAATTAAAAGCCTGTATTTCCTTTCATAATCTCAACATTACACATTTATGCCACTAATTTGCTCTTATTCCATCCTTGGAATACCTTATAGCAGATACTGCCTTTGCATCAAACACAACTGCCATAAAAATCAAAGATAGATCAAGCTTAATTCTTAGATATAGAAAGTGATTTGGACAAGAAGGCCTAATTCACTATCACACTAATTAAACCTTTGTATTCAAGATATAATTCATACAGAACTAACAAAAATTATTTTAACTTACGCACACCAATACCTTACAAATGCCTCCTCTAGTACAATAAAAATGCAGGTATGTAAAAGCTATGTAAAAGAAATAGAATTCTCTCTGGTTTCCTACATGGTCTTGTAGCATGGCTCCAGAACACACAGATAGGAAACCTCAATCCAAAATTTTCCAAGGTAATATTAATTACAAAAGCCAACAGATGTCACAGATTAATTTTGACCACTGATGGTCCAATTGTACTGCTCAAAATGTCATTTTATAGCATACTAAGGCCACAATCCCAGTGCTGGTTTTACAGCTGCAACTGAATAATCTGGAAAACCTATGCTGTAACTGAGACATCTGAACTCTGTACAGTCATAACTGCACACAGGAATGAAGACCCTAGTGGGCACTATACAAGTAAGTAATTGCCGTAGGTAAGTTTAAGTTCTCTTTCTACAAAAAGCAATTGTTACTCAGTGAAAGAAATAAATCTTGCTGAATTATGAATGTACAGAAACTGCTTTGACTTTTTTGGGCAACAGGTACCTCCAGTCAGCCCTTCCCTGAAGCTGGAACAAGCAAATCTGAATGGCCTTCTGGAACAGAACACCATAAAAGGGCTCAAACACAATGTTCTCCTTATCTACCATATAAGCTCATCTTAAACAGAAAGAGTCTTCTTTTTTGGGACCACTGCTTACTGCCACAGAAAAGTTTCCACCTATCACTGCAATTTTTAACATGCAATATTTCATCATTCCCTACCAAAAAGTTAGCAGGAAGCTTTGTGAGCACCATAAGGCTGGAGATGCCAAGACTCCCCCAACAAATACTTGAAGAAAAGAAAGTGGAAGACTTAATACTGATTTTCGACTTACATATCCAGTACCTGTGCTAGCAGCCATCCTGTGAACATCATGACCTTTTTATGACCTGTGAGCTTGGGTTTTGCATCCTAAAGCGACTTTCTGACAAACTGTAAACTATCAGCAGGAATTGGAACCAAACATGAGTCCTCGTTTCTCTCACTACTTGAATGTTTGTTTTTGGTTATAGTTGGTTTCATTGCTCAGGGCTGGGTCTCTTGTTTTAATTACGTGCAGAACTACCCATTCTAATTTTCTTATGTCCAAAAAGCTCTGTACAACACAAACCTGTGCTACATTTACAGAAGTCTGGATGGCACACTAAACAAATACACTGGGCTACCCCCAAGTTCTCTTATATGAGCAATGGTAGGAGACAGACTATTATGAATCCTTGCACCACAACGTAATCTTAGTAAGGTATACAAATCACACCTAATGTACAGGATTTTGTCAACACCTGCCAAAGGTTTGCAAGGAGCTTTGCCATATTGGTCAGGGATTCTGCAAAGTCTTTAAAAATGAGGCATTGTTGAAGCAGATGCTAGCATGCTACCAAATACACTGCTCCACTTTTTGCTACCAAATAATGACCTCCTTTTTTCTTTTTTTTTCTTTTTTATTTTGTTAAAGGAGTGGGGGGGCACAACAAGAGAAAAAGCATCAGGAGTTTTTCCTATAACTAGAGAAAGAAAACTTCTGAAAACAAGACAATTTCTAGAATTGTCCAGCAACAGCTTTGGATGATCTCAATTTTTTTTTCCCAAAAGTATGCATCTGTTAATCTAATAAGGAAAGATACATGAGGACATCTGAATGTAAATCAAAAGAGCATGAAGAAATATAGCTACAAAGCAATAAATCTTTGATGATATACTACTACAGTATAATACATTCAAAAATGGTTTGTAAATACAGCCCTTCCTATACACCTTTAAACTGGCAGTTATCTACAGCTAATCACTCTATCAAATAAGATTAATTTACATCAATGAGGTGATTTAGCTATGTAAATTATGCTTGACTTAGCTTCTGAGTCAGAAAAACAGAATGCACATTAAGAAACTCTACCTTTAACTCATTTCAACTGGCTTTTCTGACAGTCCTTGGAATCTACACAACCTCAGAGTCTAAAATAGTAGTTTAAGAAAGCAGCATTACAAATGCACTACAAATACACTTTTCCTTTGCTTCAGTTAGTGTTCTGCTGGGTCCCAAGAAGATTGTTCAACATAAAACGTACATAAGTATAAAAAAAAAAAAAAAAAAAAAAAAAAATCTTTCTCAGTAATCTTCCCTTATTAAAAGCAGTCCATGAATTTGCATATCAGTAGAAACAATAAGAAAAATATTGGTAAGCAGTTCTAATATATTTTTTTATAATACATTCATTCCTCTGCTGGAATGTTTGTCAGCCAGTCAAAATTGCATTATTTTATCAATCTTTTTTAACAGTGGTTAAGGACAGCAGGGGGAGGGGAAGCATATTTAACAGTTTTATAGTAGTTTCCCCACAGCTACTGCTCTCACACAATATCCCTGCAAGTACCATTACTTCATTTGGCACATTTTGCATACAATCTGGAATTTCAATTACTTGTTAAATTTCTTTTATTTTAAGCTATTTATTTTTTTACTATGTATCACACAATAGTCAGATTAATAATAAATCTAAGGGGACATTTTAACAGCGAGGAACTCAAAGTATAAAACAAATTATTCTGATATCTAAAATAACTTTACAGTACAAAGCAGCTCCTACACACATATGGTAATAATTTGAAAAACTATCTTTTATTGGATTCTGGGTAATAATAATGGCATATGTTTTTTGTAGGTCTTCTCTTACTAAACAAATTGCTCACAACATAGTTCTTGAGGAAATTAAAATGCTTTGAATGTTTCCAGTTATATAAGACCAAACTGATCACTCAAACAATTGATTTAGAAGTTGAATCTGTAGTTCTGAATTTTACTTGAATGACATCCACTAAACTTTGGACAACTCTTAGGACAAGGTTTGGTTATTGACATGATTTGCAGCTTTAATTATTTATATTAGCTCATAAAATTTCTACTTCAGTTTCACTTTACTTTCAGTCTTAATTGCTGTTACTCAAACCAACCATTTTAGAAAACAAGATTCTCTGCAATACTACTTTCTGTTCCTTATCGATAATGTATTATTTAAAAACAACTAGATTAGGAAACTAATTCCTGGAATTGTGCTCAAAATGAGGAGAGAAATGGATTTAAAATGCTTATCACCCTTTGAGGTAATTATAAGCAAGAGGGTACCTCAATAGCACTTTTTAGTTTAGTGGTTTTTAAAAGCTAATTTATTCTAAGTTCACTACCATTTCAGTGTAATTTTAAGCCGCAGCTATGTGAAGTATTTGATCAAACACTGACTATAGTCTTATAGCTAACTATAAGAATTTTCTAACATGAACTAATGGGAAGAATTGTAAAAAGCCCATCATACTCTTATTTAAAAAACATTCCAAAATCTCAAGTACCCCCACATCTGAATATTCGAAGTAAATCCAGTGTGACTCAATGCAAGCTACGACTGATATCTAACTGTCCTGCACATCTGTGGAACACTCTAAGGCTTCTTTGAAATGCTCTCCTCAGTAAAAAAATATTGGTTCAACTTATATTAGAAGTAATGCTCATATATGTAAGCCTTCCTCATTCTGCTATTATACATGAAAACAGACAATCTAGTAACTCTGAGAAATCAAAATTTTTTTTCAACTATTTATATATTTAACATCCTTTGTACACTCTGCAGTGGGTATGCAAACAAATAATTTAAATAAAGTGCTCAAATATAATTGTTTAACAGTATGTAATTATATTAAACAGCATAAAGTGGCTGCTTTACAGAAAAGCATTCATCTTTCCCATTTGTATATCACCTTAGGATGGCTGAACTTAACAGAATACCATATACTAATCTAGTTTAAAAAATTATGAAATACATGAAAGAAGAAGACAGAAATGAAACATCATTTCATCTTGAAACTCAATGGAAAAGCAGTTAAAAAATAGAAGTTAT